CCCCACGAGACTTAGAACTGAAAGAAGCTGAAAAAATATGACCAGTCCATCTCCTTCTCACCTTCACTAGATCCTCTGGGATCAGATGACTCTCTTGCAAAAACACAATCTTAGCTTTCAAGTCCTTAATTCTGCTCATTACTTGCTTAAGTTTCACTAATTTGTTAAGACCCCTCACATTCCAGGATGTGAACTGTAGTTCAGAAGACATGGTAATGAATTATAATATTGAGACTACACAACATATGGGTAACAAGTATTATTAAGTGTGTATATTATAGAATAAGGTAAAACACAAATAGGATTAAAAAAAAAAAAGCAAACCACCACAACATAAAGTGCCTATAACCTGAACATAACAAGATGTATTTCCCCAAATGAAATACACAATCCCCTCCCAAAATCTACACTTCCAAAAGACTCCCCAAAGGTTGAGTCTAGCTATGAGGCTAAGCCGGTCCACACGTGTGAGGAACAGCATACTCAAATGGTCAAAACAAGGCCCGGTGCAAAAAATAAATAAAAAATAAACAAAATATAATAGTAATGATTAATAATAAATGATACACACTTTCTTTCACAATCAGAACATACATTAGTAAAACACAAACAGCTAAACAAAATAGTTCCAGATCTAACACACTGCCTGCTTCTAGACAGTATCAAAACAGTGTTCGTAGTCACATGAAGCAGAAAGGATAAAAGTCACCTGCAGTTATTTAAGTATTGATGAGGAAGATTGTAGCGCTACTCCGCGTCCTCCGCTGACGTCCCGCTCCTCTCCTGCCTCAGCCTTCGCACAAAAGTCTCAGCTGCCTCCGCTTTTTCAAACGTGTGGCGTCTTCCCCTGATAGTCACAAGCAGTGTAGCTGGATGGACTAACCCGTAGCGCAGATCCTGAAGTTTTAGACCAGCTAGGTCCCTCTTCACGGCATCAAACAGCTTTCTCTTCTTAAGTAACTCGGAGGATAGATCCGGGAAAAACATAACTTTTCTTCCATCTACGAGCACGTTGCCTGCGCTTCGGGCTGCATTCATAATACGGACCTTGTCAGCGTAGTTGAGGAGCTTCATAACCACTGCTCTGGGTCGCACGGTGGGATCTTGTGATCCCGAAGCAGTACCGTTATTCCACATTCGGCCAACTCTGTGTGCCCTTTCAATCACCAGAGGTTGTGGAAAGTTGCGTTCCCCGAGCGTCGTTGGAATCCATCTCTCCAAAAAAACACACATATCCAATCCTTCTTTTGACTCTGGGAGGCCAACCAGTCGTATATTCGAGCGGCGAGCACGGTTTTCCAGGTCATCCACTTTACGCAGGAGCTCCTCCACTCTGGCTGTAGTCAAGCTAGTTTGGGCTCCCATGCGGGACAGCTCGTCTTCATTTGAACTTATTCTCCGTTCAGCTTCAGTTGTCCGATTCGTCAGTGCTGTCAAATCTTCTTGCACTTTGTTAACAGCCCCCAGTAAACCGTCCAATTTTGACGCAAAGTATTCTTTCATTGACGAGAATTCACTACTTAGAGAGCTGATAGCGGCTAGTATCTCACACGAGCTATCGCTAGCCTTCTCATTGCCAGCCTCAATGCTACTTAGCTCCCCCGCTAGCTCAACAGCGCACGGGGAATTACCCCCGGGTTTAGAAGATTTCCCGGTCTTCCCGGCATTCAGTTTAGGTGGCATTCTGGTTCCTTGCGTTGTTCAAAGATGTTACTGCTGTTTAGTCCATAGTACTGAGTGTCTGATTGTTATTAGTTAAAAAGTTACACCTGAGCCTCGGACACACGTGCTGTTAGGAGCGCACCATAACCGGAAGTCCTTGAGAAAGTTTTTAATGTACTGTCGGTAGTAGCTCAACAGTCCCATTACCTTTCTTAGTTCCCCCACCGTCTTTGGTTTTCTGTCCTTCAGTACTGTTACTGCAGCAATGTCAGAGGGATCTATCTTGTTTCCCTCAGCCGAGACTATTCTTCCAAGGTAACGGATCACGGGTTTAAAAAGCTCACACTTACTGGGCTTTAACTTTATCCCATGTTGTCTCTGCAGAACGGTTCTTACATCTCCAACATGGTCCTCAAATGTCTTACTAAATACTATTCTATCGTCCAAATAAGGGACACAAATCTTTTCTCGAATGTCTTCTAAGCACTCCTCCATACATCGCTGAAAGGCCGCAGGGGCATTCATGAGCCCAAAAGGTATCCTGGTCCACTCGTATAAACCCCATGGTGTCACAAAAGCTATCAAATGTCTGCTGTCTTTCGCCATAAACCCTCGGTGATAAGCTTTTCCTTGGTCAAGTAGTGAAAACACTTGATTACCACCAAGCCCATCCAGAATGTCTTGGATTCTGGGAATCGGCTGTCTGTCCGGGTGAGTCTTTAAATTAAGCTCCCTATACTCTATACATAGTCTGTGAGGCATAAGAGGAATGTGACCGCTCTATCCATCCTTGTGCAATCAGATCGGTCAGGCTCAGGTTCTCAATGCAAGGATGCATTGAGAATCTACCTTTTTTGTAGGTTCTCAATGCATCCTATGTCACTATCTGATTTTGAAAGTGATCTAGACTCTTCCCTGAGCATCTCACTGACAATCTGTCTCTTTTTTTCTTTGAGGTGGCAAAGGTCAACTGGCGGGTCCCACAATTCTGTTTTTGTCTCTCCCCCACCTACATGTTGAGTCTCCATATTATTTATTTGAGCAACTGTCTCTTTTTCATTGGTAGTACTAACTGGGTTTACAGAAGTAACTGTCTGTGCCGTACCTACAGTGCCTTGCGAAAGTATTCGGCCCCCTTGAACCTTTCAAAATTTCACCACATTTCAGGCTTCAAACATAAAGATATAAAAATTAATTTTTTTGTCAAGAATCAACAACAAGTGGGACACAATCATGAAGTGGAACGACATTTAATGGATAATTTAAACTTTTTTAACAAATAAAAAACTGAAAAGTGGGGCGTGCAATATTATTCGGCCCCCTTGTGCTAATACTTTGTAGCGCCACCTTTTGCTGCAATTACAGCTGCAAGTCGCTTGGGGTATGTCTATCAGTTTTGCACATCGAGAGACTGGAATTCTTGCCCATTCTTCCTTGCAAAACAGCTCACGCTCAGTGAGGTTGGATGGAGAGCGTTTGTGAACAGCAGTCTTCAGCTCTTTCCACAGATTCTCGATTGGATTCAGGTCTGGACTTTGACTTGGCCATTCTAACACCTGGATACGTCTATTTGTGAACCATTCCATTGTAGATTTGGCTTTATGTTTTGGATCATTGTCCTGTTGGAAGATAAATCTCCGTCCCAGTCTCAGGACTTTTGCAGACTCCAACAGGTTTTCTTCCAGAATGGTCCTGTATTTGGCTCCATCCATCTTCCCATCAATTTTAGCCATCTTCCCTGTCCCTGCTGAAGAAAAGCAGGCCCAAACCATTATGCTGCCACCACCATGTTTGACAGTGGGGATGGTGTGTTCAGGGTGATGAGCTGTGTTGCTTTTACGCCAAACATATCGTTTTGCATTGTGGCCAAAAAGTTCGATTTTGGTTTAATCTGACCAGAGCACCTTCTTCCACATGTTTGGTGTGTCTCCCAGGTGGCTTGTGGCAAACTTTAAACGAGACTTTTTATGGATATCTTTGAGAAATGGCTTTCTTCTTGCCACTCTTCCATAAAGGCCAGATTTGTGCAGTGCATGACTGATTGTTGTCCTATGTACAGACTCTCCCACCTCAGCTGTAGTTATCTGCAGTTCATCCAGAGCGATCATGGGCCTCTTGGCAGCATCTCTGATCAGTCTTCTCCTTGTTTGAGATGAAAGTTTGGAGGGACGGCCGGGTCTTGGTAGATTTGCAGTGGTCTGATACTCCTTCCATTTCAATATAATTGCTTGCACAGTGCTCCTTGAGATGTTTAAAGCTTGGGAAATCTTTTTGTATCCAAATCCGTCTTCCGTCTTTGTCTTCATGGTTCTGTCTGCGCTTTAAACAGAACCCTGAGACTATCAAAGAGCAGGTGCATTTATACAGAGACTTGATTACACACAGGTGCATTCCATTTATCATCATCAGTCATTTAGGACAACATTAGATCATTCAGAGATCCTCACTGAACTTCTGGAGTGAGTTTGCTGCACTGAAAGTAAAGGGGCCGAATAATATTGCATTACTATAGTTCAGTGATTTATAATGTATAGGTTTATTGTACTAGCAAATGACATTAACTTTACAAAAGTAAAGTCTATTTTCATATATTTATTTTGAACAAAAGTTTTTAACTACATTTGAATCATATTACTTTATCTTAGCTTTTATCAAAAAGGGGAGACATCACTGATCAATAGATCTGGTTTTAGCAAACTTTTAAACAATACATTTAAACATTAAGTAATGAATTTGGGAACATAATTGCTAACTGCATTTTCTAAACATGATCAGGTTTTAACTTAATATTTTTTAACATAGGACAAGTATTCTCAATTAGTAGTGAACTGAATATTAAACTAACGAAATCAGACTAGTTAAAGAGCGACTAAACGCCAAATCAACTTTTTTCAACTCATAAACTCCATAAATATGTTTATTGTAGTGCTCTCTACATATCCTGGTCATTTTTTTGACATTTTAGTTCAAATTAGATAAAATATCACTTTTGAGCCAAAAAACGTCTGTGTGGCGCCCTCTCAACCTTTTTGGTGGTACTACATTTTAATTTGGTCCTGGCCTCTCCATTGACTCTGAAGTTCTCTATGACATCAGTTGTTTTGTGTGACGTCAGTCTGTCAGAGCCAGTGATGTGAACCCATTCAACTCGAGTCCTTATGTGAGGAAGGGTCCGGCCAAGATGGCGGTGCTTTAAGGCGGACTTTTGTCAAGCTCTCAGCACAACATCCGTAATATACTAGTTTTACTGTTCATGGCTAAGTAAATTTTAAAGTTTACACTTAATACTAGTTTCCTAACCACACTTGGACAAAGATTGTAACTTTACAACGCTGAAGATGCCCAACAGAACGGAAAGAAGACGTTTCCCGGGCGAGGAAGGTGCTAGCTCCTCTGCTAACGAACACGACTACAACAACGGCGCCAGCGGGATGGAGTGCTCGTTACCAGCAATGGCAGATGAGCTGGAATTCCCTCCACTGCCCGTTACACCGAGTAAGCCTCCCCTTGCTAAGAAGCCTTCGCTGTCCAGATTCCATGATGCTAATGATAGTCTTTCTAACACTACTGCCCGCATGCTTGCCGATTTGATCAATTCAAGAAGCGACGCGCTTGAAGAAATGATTGGCGCCATTCGCACTGAGATGAAAGTAGAATGTAAAGATTGCCGCCATTGACACCCGTGTTGGCAAATGTGAGGATGCTACTCAGAAAAGCTGGGCTCGAGCAGCTGAGGTGGAGAGTTATGGGAGACGGTGGAACCTGAGGCTGCACGGGGTGACTGAAACCAGGGATGAGAATGTTCGTGAGAAGGCCATTGCTGTGTGTCAAGAAGTGCTTCCAACTATAAAGGACAAGATGCGCGATATCATTGATGTTGCTCATCGAGTGGGGAAAAAACGCGGCGATGACCCGAGGCCCCGCAGTATCATCATAAAGTTCGTCTGGAGACATCACAAGGAGGATCTGTGGAAGGCTGCCAAGACCTGCGCTTTTCTCCAAGGTAATGGTCTGCGCTTCAGTCTGGATCTTTCAAAAGAGGACAAGGACAACCGAGGGAAACTGTGGCCCAAAATCAAGAGAGCGCGAGAGGAGGGCAAGACGGCCTATTTCGTGGGTGGAAGAGGATTCGCCGATGGAGTTGAAATATTTCCATAAGAATTAGCTGTCTGACTATGGTAGCGTACTTGGGGCTCTGTTTACAAGTTCTTATAAGCTCTAATATTCTAAAGGGATGACTTTTAATTGCACTGATTAGTGTTTACGCATTTAAAAAAAAAAAAAAAAAAAAAAGTTACAATTTTTTCAGACGGTTAGGGAAAAAAGAAGAAGAAAAAAATTTTTTTTTTTTGTTCAAGTTGAACAATTTTGCATATTGTTGCTGATCTTGACAGCATGTGGTTTATATAGTCTAAGGTTTTCTTAGAGGTTTATTGTCGTTTGCAATTGTTATTTTACGTTAGTTAAATCTGTCTTTATCTTTCTTATCTATTAATTCTAGGGGTTTGCGCAACAACATTAAACGCAAAGCTATATTTCTTTTTGCCAAACAATTTAAATCAGACTTTGTTTTTGTTCAGGAATCTCACTCTGTTGCTAATGACAACAATTTTTGGAAGTCGCAGTGGGGTAACACCATATGGTTGTCACATGGTACTGAACATTCGGCTGGGGTTGCTACATTACAATACAATACAATACAATTTATTCTTGTATAGCCCTAGGTCACAACAGAAGTCATCTCAGAGGACTTAACAAAACCATTGAAATCACCAACACAGGTCAGAGAATCAACAGTTAAAACACATGAAGAATATAAAGCACACACAGAAAAAAATGTCCATACATGTTGTAGAATGCTAAAGTGTCCTGATCATCACCAATCCTTTCTGTTGGACACTAACTGTCCAACAAGACCCTCCTGCATCGACAAGGAAAAACTCTTAAAAAACCCAGTGGGAAAAAGTGAGAAACCTTGGAGGAGAACTAGGGAAACCCACAGGGAGGGAGACCCATATGAGAAAGGGATCCGCTCCTCCGGACGGACAGGCTAATGATCTAGGACCTAAGCTAGCTACAGAACGTGGACCAGTGGACGCTGAACGTGGACAGGTCCGGTGCAGGACTGAAGCACTCCCAGGCGGGTCGGGCGGGGCAGTCCGCAGGTGTAGATGGAAGAGGCCAGGCTCAGAGATCCCGTCATCGTACCATGAAACAGACAATGGGACAACGGGTGAATAGCAATGAACAAACTACAGTCAGAATCCTAAAAATGCTAAACAGATAAAGTAGGAAGGAGGAGAGGATAGTGCTCAAGTTACCATACTTCTCCCAGCAAACTGACTCCCTATGCAGCTTGACTAACACTCTGAGGAGTTTAACCTTCTCCGAGTCTTACCTTCCTAGCCATATGCTAAACTAAAGAGGACTGTTTTAAACCTAGCCTTGAATAAAGAATAACATACAGCATAATATATAACATAATATACAACATAACACAATACATTATTGAATAATATATAACATAATATATAACATAATACAGCATATATATATAATATATACACTAATATTATATATATTACCTAATTATATGCTAAATTAAAGTAAAGTGCTTTAAGCCTGGCCTTGAATGTGGAGACCGTATCTGCTTCCTTAACATAAATGGGAAGCTGATTCCACAGTAAAGGAGCTTGGTAGCTAAATGCTCTGCCACCAACAGTGACCTTTGAGACCTTAGGGACCACCAGACGTCTGGCGTTTTGTGAGCGCAACGCTCGACCTGGTTGATACGACCCTAACGTGTCTTGGAGATAAGAGGGAGCCAAGCCATTTATGGCTTTATATGTTAAGAGTAGGATTTTAAACTTTATTCTGTACTCCACAGGGAGCCAGTGGAGTGATTTTAACACCGGAGTTATGTGCTCCCTCCTTTTGGTACCTGTTAAGATCCTAGCTGCTGTATTCTGAACGAGCTGGAAGCTCTTCAAAGAGGCTTTAGGGCACGCTGCCAGTAAAGCGTTACAGTAGTCGAGCCTTGAGGTGACAAACGCGTGAATGAGTTTTTCCGCGTCACTTTTAGGAAGGAAATTCCTAATTTTAGCGATGTTCCGTAAGTGGAAGTACGCCGTTTTAGTTGCTTGGCTTATATAAGCCTTGAAGGAGAGTTCTTGGTCAAAAATGACTCCAAGATTCCTCACAGTGTTACTGGGTATTATACTGACATTATCGAGAGTAACCATCTGGTTAGTGAGGGAGTCACGCAGGCGCTTCGGACCGAGTAGGATCACTTCTGTCTTCTCCGGGTTGAGAAGTAGGAAGTTAAGAGTCATCCACATTTTAAGGTCCTTTATGCAGGCACTGAGCTTTTCTAGCTGATCTGTCTGATTAGGCTTCATCGACAGATAAAGCTGTGTGTCATCTGCATAGCAGTGGAAATTAATTCCATGCTTTTTAATAATGTTTCCCAGTGGCAGCATGTAGAGAGTAAAAAGAATCGGTCCGAGTACCGAACCCTGCGGCACACCGAATTCCACTCCAGAATAAGGCGACGAGTCCTGATTCACATTGATGAAGTGATATCGATCTGATATATAGGATTTAAACCAGCCAAGGGCTGTTCCTCTAAGACCTATATCACATTCTAGCCTCTGCAGTAGAATGCTGTGGTCTATTGTGTCAAATGCAGCACTAAGGTCCAGTAGGACCAGCACTGACACTTGTCCATTATCGGCAGCTAGTAGTAAGTCATTTGTGACTTTGACTAGTGCCGTTTCAGTGCTATGATGAGCTCTGAATCCTGATTGAAAGACTTCAAACATATTATTTTCCTGCAGGTGGCAGCGGAGCTGCTCAGCTATAAGTTTTTCCAGGATTTTAGATATAAAAGTGAGGTTTGAGATCGGTCTGTAGTTTGTAAGTATTTCTGGGTCCAGGTTTGTTTTCTTCAGAAGGGGTTTGATTACCGCGGTTTTAAAAGCTTGTGGGACATAGCCACATTGTATGGATGCGTTTATTATATTTACGATAGGCTCAATTATCAAAGGAAGTATGTCTTTGAAGAGCCATGTCGGGACTGCGTCTAACATGCAAGTTGAGGCTTTTGAGGATGTGACCACAGAGATCACCTCTGCTTGGCTCACAGCCATGAATTTATTAAGGCCCACTGAAGAGTCTAAGTGGGAAGTCACGTATGCCGCTTCAACCTGTCCACCACTAACAGCAGGAGCAACCTCCTCCAGCTTGTCACGGATGGATGTAATTTTATTATTAAAGAAGTGGAGAAAGTCGACACTGCTCAGTGAGCTTGGAATTTTAGGCTCGATTGCGCTATGGCAGTTTGTGAGTTTAGCGACGGTGCCAAACAAAAATCTACTGTTGTTTTTATTCGCTTCTATTAAAGTTGAATAGTATTGAGTTCGAGCCCCGCGAAGGGCCTTCTTGTAGTTTCGGAGACCTGCTTTCCACTCCCTGTGGACAGGCTCCGAGTGGGAGTGGCGATATAGCCTCTCCAATTTTCTGACGTCCTGTTTTAAAGTGTGGAGTTGAACACTGTACCAGGGCGACGATGATCTAATCCTAATGGTTTTCTGTTTTAAAGGAGCTGCTGCATTTAATGCAGATTTTAAAGACTCCATAGTGTTGCCCACCGTTTGGTCAATGACTGAGGGACTGCAGCTGCTGTGAACAGGTTCACCTGCAGCAGTATTCAACATAGGCTGTATTAGTTCTTTGAACCTTGTGATAGATTTATCATTTAAGGTTCTTTTCATTATGGTTTTATCTTGCGGGACAGGAAAGTCCTCCAAAGCGAGATCAAACGTGATCAAGAAATGGTCAGACAGCAACGAGCTTTGACGCTGGATGTCAACATTGGAGACATCACAGCCGTAGGTCAGGACAAGGTCCAAGGTGTGGTTATGAATGTGAGTAGGTTCCTCGACATTCTGAGTAAAACCAACACCATCTAGTACGGCGCTGAAAGCTTTGTTTAAGCTGTCAGTGCTGTCGTCCACATGTATATTGAAGTCTCCAGCTATAACTATGTTTTCCCATTCCAAAACTAGGTTTGAAATGAAGTCAGAGAATTCTGTTAGGAACTCGCTGTAAGGACCAGGAGGTCGGTATAAAACTATAAATAGTACTGCTTTTTGTTTTCTCCACCCAGGACAGGTGATTGAAAGTGTTAAGTTTTCAAACGAGTGAAAAGCGTTGTTGGTTTTGGGACTAAGAACCAAGTTGGTGTGTGATATAATCGCAACACCACCGCCGCGACCTGTAGCTCTGGCTTTCTGGTAGTTAACATGCGTCGGAGGAGTGCACTCATTCAATCTAACGTAGTCGTCCTGTTGGAGCCAAGTCTCCGAGAGCGCAAACAAATCCAAGCCCTTGTCTATAATAAGTTCGTTTATGAGAAGCGATTTAGACGAGATTGATCTGACGTTCATTAAACCACATTTAACAACCCTACCGCTAGAACTATTTCTGTCTGTCTGAACTTTTATTAAGTTACTGTGTCTGACACCTAGGTCAGATTTCCTCGCATATAGTGCTTTAGACTTCAAGCGGGGAACACACACAGTTTCAATCTGACTAGGTTCTGAGGCTAGTAACTGAGCACACACAGGCACACACACACATGCACACACAGTTTCAATCTGACTAGCCTCTGAGGCTAGTAACTGAACAGATGGGGGCTCAGAGGTTGTGGCAGAGCAGCTCTGCACCCGGGCCTCAGTTCTGCATCGTCATTTGAGCCGAGCAGAACAGTTTAGAGCCAGGGCCAAATTCTTAGCCAAAAGGGATGTACCCGCCAACGTTGGGTGGATATCATCCGAGCGGATGAGACCGGGCTTTCCCCAAAAGGCACTCCAATTGTCAACATGAACAACACCACTTCGAGGGCACCAGCCAGACAGCCAGCGGTTGAAAGCCGAGTGTCTGCTGAATGCTTCTGCACTGCTAGTGCTAGGTAGGGGCCCAGAGAAGATGACAGTGTCGGCCATTGTGCTAGCCAGCTTGCACACGGCGGCGACTTGCAGCTTCAACACCTCGGACTGTTTCCGCCGAACGTCATTACCACCCGCGTGAATAACAATTCGACGGAAACGCTGCTTGTGGGTCATCATGAGCCTCAGATTCCCTTCAATATCACCAAGCCTGGCCCCAGGGAAGCACCGAACAGTGGCTCCTGGGATCTTAACACCTCTAACAATAGAGGAGCCAATTACCAGCGCATCAGCGACTCCATCGGCTCTCTCAGCAGCTCTCTCAGCGGCTCTCTCAGTGGGGCGTTCTTCCCCGCCCGGCCGCGCGGGGGCGCAGCCGGACAGAGCGTCCCAGCGATTGTAAATGCTAACAGGAGGAGGCCCAATGGGGAAACTACCAACAACACGTCGCCCTCTCCGAACAGTCACAAAGCCATCACTATCCTGGTCTTGTCCCAGCTGCGGAGGACGGGCTGGGAGGCTAGGCTCGCTAGTTCTCCTCTGCCTTTCCCTAAAGCTGCGCTCCGCTGTCCCTGAGGATACGGCCTGGCTGTAGCTAATGCTAGCGCTAGCTCGAGACTCCAGTGCTCGGAGACGCAGCTCTAACTCACTGACCCTGGATTCCAGAGCTACGACTACACTACACTTCACACATCTATCACTACCCTCAGAGAAGGATCCAGGGTTTAGACTCGCCATATGGCAACTCGAGCAGTAAAGGATTGAGGGAGAGACAGCAGCCGCCATAGTAGCGAGTTAGCGGCTAGGCTAGGCTAAGCTAGGCTAGGCTAAGCTAGTACGGATCCGAGCCCGCACAACAGACTCCGAGACCAGACAAACAACCGCTACCTAAACCTCAGCTACAGTACAGCTGACTCGGAGTGCTTACACAGTTAGCTTGGTGTACAATACGTGGATTTGTAATGTGTTTGTTAGTGCAAACAGAGAGCAGAGTGATAGCAGTCAAGAAACACGCTCACCGGATACAGGAAGTCACGTCACAGCAATCATTAAAAGCTAAATTCAACGGAGAGGTGTTAGCTAGTAAATGTGATCCGGATGGTCACTATGTATGTCAAGTAATTACATTTTTTGATAGGATATTCTTAACATGCAACATTTACGGATACAACTCAAAACAGGAGAATGATGATCTTATAACGACTATTGAGGATATTTTTATTACCTGGTTAACAAAATTTCCCAATGCAACGTTACTACTGGGAGGTGATTTCAACATAGCTATGGACAGTGCTATGGACAGAGCACTTGAGTCAACCTCTTGTAAATGTTTTTTATAATGAGTATGTAGCGTATCTGTTTCCTAAGTCGGACACTTCGGGCTTAAAAAAGGCACCGGTTACCCACTTCAACGGGCTATAAAAACATAAACTTAACTATTTCGCGAACGTTACTAGCATAAAACAGAAGTTAAAAGTGTTAGCTTTCGAACGATATATATGAATAACGCCTTATTTAAATGTGGTTTTCTATATGCTGTTGAAAAGACCAAAAACATCAATGTTTTTTTTGGCTAACCGGAACTATTATCCTGAGTCGGACTCCTCAGTTCCAGAGTTTGTACAGATTCCATTCGAATAGATCCATGGTTCCATCGCTCTCACGGCTCCGCGGCGCTGGCGCATAGGCTCCGAAATTATTATATTTCAACAGTTTTGCATTAACTTTGGGCAGTGCTAACTGGTTAGCACAAAGATCTTGTCTTTAATAACAATTTTCCCCTGGTCATTTCGTTTTTAAATATATTTTTTACACTCCTAAAATGCCACAAGCACACTTGAATTGTTTTATAATTTTAGGATTAGTTTCTAAATTCTTCTTTCCCCCAACTAGAAAACTTAATATAGGTAGCATTCACTGTAGTAGCCAATTAACAAAAATATAAATAAAAAGTATTAAATTATGGTATTAAAATGTTACAAAAATAGCTTTAGCTTACAGTAATACCAAAGACAACCTTCCCAGAACAAGCTTTGAAAAGATGCCATTTACATGTCAACATTATTTGTTATAAATAATCTTTTATTAAACACATGAAGTCATAAGGTAATGGCACAGAATTTTAAAAGTGGATAAAAAATGTATAGACATAGAGCCTTGTTTGAAACCCCTGCAGTGTCTCGGTGCCTCACCCAGCTCTGCTCCAGTTTGTCATGATGTGAACTGTTTATATCTGTAAGTTTAATGCTCTGAATGTTATTATTAATGTTATGTTAATGTCACATATGTTTGCATGTGTGCAAAGCTTACAAACATCCCTAACCATGCCTTTGTTTTAACAATAGATAATGTTGATGCACAATGAAGGAAGAGCTGCCTCCGACTGACAGGAACTCAATCTTCACACCCAAAATACTCCAAATATCCAAGTTGAAAATTCAATGAGATGCTTAAGGGATGCAGGCAGGAGATGAGAAGAAGTGCTTCAGGTTTTGAGGATGAGAAGGGTTATACTGTAAAACAAGAACATGAGAACATTAGAGAACAATAAACCATGAAAAGTGAGTACCCTCTTGCTTTAGACAGTGTAAAGTGTACAGGTATTCAAAAGTTCAAAGGTTGTGATGTTAAGAGTGAGGTGACATGTATCCCTCTGTACTCTGTACTTGTACTGCACTAAAGAATTACCCTCAAACCTCCAATATAAGCCCTGGTCCCTGTGACCCACAGAGGGCCCTAGTCCCAATGTTTCATCTTGTAGATCATGACTTAAAGCATCAGCTGATTGCACTAATGTAGCTGGTGAGATTGTAAGCATAGTCATTCAGTCAACTTCACTTCTTGGTGGAGACCAGGAAAGACCCAGGACATGTGTCTCTCAGCTGGCCTGGCAACGCCTCAGGATTCTTCCTGATGAGCTGGAGGAAGTGTGTGGAGTGGGACGTCTGGGCATCTGCTCTGACCCTAACGGGAAAAAAAGGAAGAACATATTATATTTTGTATGTTTTTCTCATTAATTGACCACTGTGTATGCAATGAAAGAATGACCTGTGAAGCATCTTGTTGAGTGCCCAAAAACTACACAAAACCGATTCATAATAATAATAGGGCTCGAATATGTATATTGTTTTAGCACTAGTTTTCAACTATTTAAATAATTAACATTTAGTCTTGTGACAGTACCAGAGTCTAGATATGAAGTTGTAAATGATTGTTTACTAAAATAGTTGATTTTTGAAATTGGTCAATCATTTTTAAAATAGTTGTAATAAGAAAATGATCATTAAATGGTTTATTGAATCTTCGATAGTCTTTAACATGTGAGGAGAGGCTTAGTCTCAGCTAACTCCATAGTGACTGCAGAATGAAAGGAAAATGTGTCTACAATCCAAGCAGGAGTCATCACTTGGGTCAAATGGAGAATGGGTAAAACTCTTTTTGTTATAACAGCCTTAGTTTCCATTATTCGTTGTCACACAAATAGTAAACTAATACTCAGATCTATGTCTCACTGGCTGCAGGAGAACATGGACCAGTGGACTCACTCCTTCACTGTATCCAACAGATCAGAGAGTGGATGCAAAACAACTTCCTTCAGCTAAACGCAGACAAAACTGAAATGATTGTCTTTGGTCCCCAGAAACAAAGAGAGCGTCATCTGTCACCTACAGTCTCTCTCCCTAAAACCTTCAAACCCGGTCAGAAATCTAGGGGTAATACTGGACTCAGACTTAAATTTTAATAGCCACATTAAATAGGGGCGACAGTAGCTCAGTTGGTAGAGCATTGGCCTTAAGCCCAGAAGGTTGTGGGTTCAATTCCCACCTCTGCACCTTCTCCACCGACTCCCACTGATGACTGCTGTCGTTGTGTCCTTGGGCAAGACACTTAACCCCACTTTGCCCAAAGCCCCCACTGAAAGATCAAGGCTATGCTCACAGTCAGAGAGCAGCCGTCCTCCTGTGGACTCACCACCTGCAGAGGGTCAGTGAGGGGCTGGTGCTATGAGACTTGGGTGGCATCTCTGACTGCCACCCCCCTGACCCAGAAATGGATTAAAGGGAAGAAGATGGATGGATGGATGGATAGCCACATTAAATCAGTAACATCAGCAGCTTTTTACCATCTAAAAAACATTGCCAGCGCAGCAGACGTGCGTAACTTTTTCCCATGTTAACCTTCCTCTACACTGCTCCATAGACTACACAAGGACGGCATCAGAAGCCGCGGACCTGCACGCACGGCCAGTGTAGATACTGCAAAAAAAAAATACGCGCAGTCAACGCTTACGCGCTGTTAACGCCTACTGTGTAAATTCCCTGTGATGAGGGGCATGGACACAGCAGGTCTTTGCTCCTCCGCTGAAACCATCTATATCCAGACACGAACTACAGTTTGTGTCTGGATGCACTTATAATTTTGCTCACCTTCTGCAGCTGTGATGATTGGGGTTCTTCAGGAACATGCACATGTGTCATGTCTGGACTTTGCCCCTGTTCTTACTAAGGCCATGTCTGAGACTCCAGTCCTGAAGGAGGAGATAGAGAAGTTAGCACTTTATTGATCACACAGTGGCAGAATTTCACCTGACAGCTGTTGGTTAACTCGTTGTGTGCCATTGACGCACTAATACGGCAATTGCGTTTCTCTATTTTCATGTTCCCAGATGTCTATTATATCTAATATGTATCTGGATTCGCTTGAGAGCATTTTTTAATCAAGCCAACCGGTGGCAGTAGCGCTCTGGATTGTTTGAAAACAGCTAGATGCACTTATTGTGCCTCGTTTTTCTCAGCTTTTTGGTGATTTCAGTAAAACTTCCCTCTACTCGACTGGGGATTACAGGAGAACGAAACAAGCTAGAAACACAATTCTTTTTGCTGCTGAAGTACAGTCCATTCTTTCAGAATATGGTTTCGGATTCCAGTCATAGAACACAATATTCTGTGGGTCTTAAAAAATCTATAAACTCATCAGAAACTGCTGGCAATATGGGAGTACCTGTTCTGAGATAGACACTCATTGCCTACCAGCCTATTATTGTATTTCCATTCAAAAACAAGAAAGGAGCCTGCATGCTGTCCTACTTGAATGGCTTTAAAAATGTATAATTTGTAAATACATTCGACAATGCAAGTAAGGCAGTGTAGGATCCTGTTTTTTAATGCACGGAACACCAT